CCGCCGAACCAATCCATTCGTTGCGTTATTATTGGTCTCTTCTCCGTGTATTAAGAATCGTGTATCCAGCCGATATATCAACATGCATGCTCATCTCTTCATTCTCATCACAGCAGATAATTTACTAAAGGTGAAAAAAATGCACTGCTCCGCAATAATCTACGCATACTTCGCACTGCTCGTCGGAATCTGCTCAATAATCACTCTGGCCACACCAGTACCCAAAAAATATCAAATCCAAGATAAAGAAGCGGGATTGGAATCACGTGAAGCCGAGGAAGCTGACCCTGGATCAATGGATTCGCCGGGTAACCTTGACGCATCGATGAATGAGCAAGTGGAAAGATACGGAACATTGGGCAGCGCCATTTTCCGGCTCTTTGCTACGCTCTTCTTACGCCAGAAGAACGGCAATTACAACAATTGTGCATATCCTTACTATTATTCGTACCAGTACAACAACTGCGTTCACTATGGGTACCACGGTTGAAAAGAATGTCGCTGGAAAAAGCAGCAGGATGTTTAGCCGAATATCCTGCGAGTGGAAGACTGCTGTGTTTTTGGGAGGAAATATAAAATTTATGAGAAAATCAGATGAGTGTGAAAATCAAGGTAGTCTGTCATGTTCAATCATATCGCAGACAATAGGTGAAAATTTTGTTTTTAGAATATTTTTAGTGGACGCAGCAGAAGTTATACCAATAACACGTGCAGCAGTACTTGAAACCACATCCATACTGTATATGTGCTCAAATTTGGACAAGGAAACCTGCACAATACAGTACTTCATAAGAGGCTGAGGTGGTTGATATTTATAACTTGATTGGTGAACATTTGAAAAAGTGATGATAGGCATGGTTTTTCATGTTCTACAGTCAAAAATTTCCACAGTAATACTGTATTGATCTTTTTTTTTTTTACTGTCAAGTACATCGTGATAAGAAGTGAAAACTTTTCCATCACAGCCATAGTTTAAACTTACTTCACAGTGTGCTAGAAAATTCTTGAGTTCCGTTGAAAATTTGAAATTTCGTAGTTGTGTTGCATATTTTTCCAGAATACGTCAACATTTTTACGTTTTTGAGTGATTAGTTTCTCAATTTACAAAAATGAAACTTGTTATTGGTTACTGCTGATGCATCATCCAGTTTTAAGAAAATCCTTCGCATTAACTAAAGTATCCCTGCATTTCAACTAAACATGGATTATGTACAATCATTTGCATCATGTGCTGCTGACGACATCAGCTGTTGTAAGTGTAAGCAGTCGTACAGTACTCGTAAGAAAAAAATAAAACAGCAGTTTATGTTGAAACTTCCTAAGCAGAAGTATTGTATATATACACAGTTGATTTATCACATAGTAATATTTTCTTAGATGATATTTCAGTAGTAGCTGCGTGCAATAAAAGGTACAGTATCTGATTTCTGGACAGCATTTCGATTTTCAATAAGCTTGTCTTCATAATACATATTTCATGGAATTTGGTTTTATTTAATCCAGCATATATTACTGTAAATGAGTTTTGTGTATACAGTATACGTACAATACATGCAATACAGTATTCGAGTATTTCGCGAAGTGTACTTTTTGAAATTGTATTAACTTGCATCAGTTGATGCATCTAATATAAGAACCATATATTGGAGAATGAGAGAAACGGATACATTAAAATTGTCGATTTTCTTGTCATGGCATTAAAAAAAATCTTTCTTTGATTAAATCTTTTCATTCTCATTCCTTATATCGTTCAGCATTTTATTTTCTGCTTATTTAATTTTTTGAAGTGTATACAGGAGTACTTGTGGGCAGTGTCAATTTTTTGAGCATAGCGTTTTGCATTTCTGTTATTAAAAAACAATTGAATTTTACAATAACAAAAAATGACCATTTTGTACATTACTGCTGTTGTATGTAATTCAGTTTTACCTGAAGTATTCAAACTTGGGAATAAATCTGGGGATAGCTATATAGAATTATTATTGCTGTTGAATTTTGTTTGGTCTGCTAATTTTGAAAGCATGAAAAATTATAATCTCTCTGCTGAAAGCATTCCTATATCTTCATTATTACATCTGCGCACATTTTTATACTCAATTAAAGATACAGTTGAACCTTGATGAGTCAAACCTCCCTAAGTCAAATTTTTTCAAGTCCCCATCTAAATTCCCTTGAAAACAATGCATTAAAAACCTCCTTAACTCAATGTCTCTTTCTCTCAAACCTCTATAACAGTAAAATTTTCTGCAGCCTTCTGGCTATAATTTCCCTGATACATGATGAAAGAGAAAATAAGCAATAAAACAAGTAACTTAATGTGTTTTAAATGGAAGTGACAGACTAATAAACCCTTGCCTCCAAGATCAGCATGCTGTAAACTCATTAAAGAAGTAAATAATAATGCCCAGAATATCACCATCTACAATTCCCTGCAATTCTTTTATGTTTCTCAAAAAATTCTTGTTTCTGCCTAACTGTAGAAACCTTCTTAAGTCAAAACATCCCCAAATTGAATAGTTTGCTGGTCCCTATAGAAATTCGACTTAGAGAGGTTTAACTGTAATTATATGGAGATAACCCAAAGAAAACTACTGTATATTCATCTGCTTATTTTCTACAATACTGCAAAAGAGCCATGCATACATGTGGGAGTGAGTTGATTTGTCTTCCACCAATCTTGTAAGGGATTGCTGAGAATATGTCCCCATCATAAGATACAAAAATATAATGTAAAGCTGAATCCAGATTTGACAATAAGTTGGTGCAGCCTGATCCATCTTTATTGCAATCCACTCAAAATACAAAACACCATCAATAATAGACCAGCCAATAAGGATAACATGTACAGTATAATGCTTGATAAGGCTTACATTCCTGGTATATACGTCCTGGAATTGCATCTGGAAACAAAGCAATTTGTAACTTTATACAAATTCAGAGTTTTTTGTTTTGCGTACCATGAACATCATCAGTATACAATATTTTGATGCGTTTCGAAATTTTCTGCGTGAACTGTGTTTGATTGATTGTTTGAATTTTATAGGTATTGGTATACCATGTCCATATACGTCTGGAAATAATAATACCTGTAATAAAAATACTTTTTTGGGGGACCTGAGACCTCGATGCATCCAATTTTAAAATGTGCTACGCTTGACTGGGGTTGACTGTGCAAACCCCCAAAGAACAGGGAACACTGAAGGAAATTCCCTTCAACCGTGATCCTGTAAAACGCCCTCTATTGGTTACCGTCACACACTTACTCTACAGTACAAAGAATTGAAGTGGGATTAGGGGGTGACCAGACATTATGGTACACTTTCAAACTCGACGCAACTCACTTCCACGCTGCCCCTCCAGAGGGCTATTCCCTACCACTCCATCCCTCAACACCAAAAATGAGTGCGTCTCCTCCGATCGCGATAACCATCTGCTTCCTGGCAAAGCCGGGGTGGGTAATCCAGTCGGCGGCTAAAGTATCACTTAAGGAAAGGTAGATGTCGTAGCTAAGGGTCCCAATAGGGATCCCTTCTCCTTCAACCGTGATCCTGTAAAACGCAGTAAGGGCCCCCTATCGGAACCCTTAAGGGCGACACCTATCTCACCTACCTGAAACGCTTTTTATCTATTCGCATTACCCACCCGGATGTATCCCATGTGAGATGCTTATCTTGATCGGAGGAGACGCGATGAGGTTTCTGTCCAGAGAAGGGCACTCGAATTCTGACTCTTGACCAAGGAGGTTCTAGTTTTGATGATCTGACTTTGTGATTGTGATTGTGTTCGTGTCATGTGCGGAGTAGAACTTTATTAAACTCTGCTTGATTCGCAACGCTGGACGAAGACTCATTTATTAAACCTTACTACGCCCTCTATTGGTTACCGTCACACACTTACTCTACAGTACAAAGAATTGAAGTGGGATTAGGGAGTTTCGGAGACATGAGTTTGATTTCCGAATATTTGTTAAGATCCGGAAGTGATCCTTCGCCATCTCACATCATTTATCTATTTCTCAGGAATTCCCATTGGATGATACAGATTTTCCATCTCTTCATTTGAAGGAAAATTCCTTGTCGCCTCGAAAGTGGCTATCCATACGTGAAATTTCGGATATGCTGCCTCGAGTTTTGGCCTTCACCCTGGTTCGCCGATCTGCAGGTCAAGATGCTGCCTCCGTGTGTAGAACGTTCGCTAATTCTTCCTTCGGGGTGAGGAAGTCTTCCGTGGGTGCCGCGTTTTCACAAACTGATGTTCGTGAGCCCAAAACCGCGCCCATGACCGATAGGCAGGATTCTGTGTTCGAGTCGTTCGCCAAGATGAAGTGTGACGATGGTGTTCATGAAAAAATCCTGTTGGATGCCCAGTTTGCCGCTTTATGTGATGCAATTGACAAGAATTGCCATAAGGCATCGCCGGCTGTTCTGCACAAATGTATCGCAAATTCCATTGCATTGGGCCTACCGGCGGATACGAGAGTCGTTGCTTGTCTTGAGAACGAATTGCTTTGGAATCTCCGGAAATGCAAATTTCGTTTCCTCGTCCAGATTGCGCCATTTTATGCGGAACTTCAAAGAAGCGACATGGAGCGGAGGCTGTATTCAGAATTAAAAACATCTATACAACGGCGATGGGTCGAGATTGATAGCTTGAAGGATGCGTGGAAGCTATTTGCGTGTGAGAATTTTGGTGAGGAATTCTTGGCCCGCCTGGAAGATCGGTGCATTGAGCTCTCGGCAACAGCTGCGCCCCAGGATTTGCAGAAAACGTTATGCACTTTAGCTGTAACGAAGCGCCGTCCCGGTCCTTTGCTACGAGCCTTAGCATACCACCTTGCCCGTCAAGAAATGACGTTGACTCCACGTCAGCTAGCGGATCTTCTGTCCGCTTTGTATACCTTAAGCTTTCCTGATCACCCGCTCATCGATAGGATCTCCGCCGAATTGAAGTTGAAGCTTCCGGACACCGGCAGCCTTCCTGTCGTTCGCAGTGTTCTTGTGTCTGTTGGCTTGTTGCGTTGGAGGAATACTGGTAAGTTATCCTTGAAGCACGGATTTCATAAGATGTACATTATGGCAGATTTCTTTCCCAAAAAGCAGAAGGTGGAGCAGATTCTCCATGTGCCTAATAGATTACGTGGGATTGTCGGGTCTGGTTTTTGTGAATTCTGTTTCTGGAGCGCCTGTACCGGCTATTGCTATCGTACTCGCGTTAATTTCGCTTAAGGTTTACAACTAATTACTGTGTTTTTGTTGATAATTTTCACAGGATTGATCGATTCTCTGTGTGAGCTATTAGCAGCGAGCAAGGAGCAGTTGAAGCCATCGGATCGAGTTTCTGCGTTGCATACGTTGGCGGTTATTAATTACCTACCGCAAGGTGTTGAGGACTTCTTATTGGTAAGGGTCTTGTATGAAAGGTTCTCTTTTTTTTTTTATTTCTTCGCATATTTCGTCACGTATGCAGATCCTAGAATCAAATTATTGCGGAATCACAAGTGTGAACAATAATGCAGTGAAGTAGAATGTTCCTAAGTAGGTTTTTTGACTGAGCTACGTGCTGTAATCCTGAACAGGATATTTATGAAGCTCAGGTATGTCGTTAACGCTTAAAAATGATGGATTTTGTGAAGTAACAAACTTTTGAATATTCTAGCAATTGTGAGACGCGCTAATTTCCATTTCTTTTTTACAGGAAATAAGGTGTAACCTTTTTTGGAATAAGTCTTGAGTTCTTTCTTAAAATCTAGTTTTTGTGGTGGTCCGAAATGTGCAACCATTCCACCGATCTTCTCCGAAGCTATTTGAGTATTTTTTTTTTTTACCGCGGAAGATGTTGGAACATGAGCAACTAACGAATGTGGGAAATCATGTTGAAACTTTTTCTTTGAGCATCTCAGTGTCGTGTTACTCTTGATCAAACGTTCCTTCCAATATTAGTTCCTCATCGTGGAAATTTTTAAAGAGTTCCTTTGCGGTTTCTCGTGACAATTCATTTTGTTCTAGGAGATCTTTTCGGATGATTCACGTTTGGGTTTCGCTTGTATAATAGAGCTTTTGGCAGATTTTGAAGCACGTGACGCAGCGATGTTTTTAAAGCATGTATAATGTCCGTGAAAATATTGCGCAGCGATTCATTGAAGCGACTTATAATGACTGATCTGTTCTGATCTCGAGTGTCGTTTCATCAGTCCCATCTTCATGGATTTTGTGTCGCTCGCATTCATGCTAATTGTGTGTTTTTTCCAGACAGATATTCTGGAGAAGGAGTCATTAGATGCCTTACCTGTTGCGAGTGCCGTCACATCTGTATGGGCTGCTGTGCTCTTGCAAAAGGCAACGAGTGATTCTGTTCGAAATTTACTCAAAAGAATTTCGACGGACATNACAGATATTCTGGAGAAGGAGTCATTAGATGCCTTACCTGTTGCGAGTGCCGTCACATCTGTATGGGCTGCTGTGCTCTTGCAAAAGGCAACGAGTGATTCTGTTCGAAATTTACTCAAAAGAATTTCGACGGACATCACCTCCGTTGATCCTTCGAAAATGTCAAGCATTTTACAGTTCGCCAAACTTGGAAAAATACCTGTTCCTGACAAGATTTCTGCGTTTGTCGAGAAGCACGCTAGTCAACGCCGTGCCTCGAGTTCCAAGGAGTCCTTCTGTTCGTCTATTGTGCAAGCTTTGACACATTTGGTTCCCAAACCGAAGTATTTGAAGGAACCTTCGAAACTAGCTTGCGGAACGCAACTGGGTGAGGATTTTTTTTGTTCAGAAATTATAGAGTTAACGATAATTTTTGCGCCACTGGACTCGCAAAGAATTATCGAGATTTCAAGGAGTTCAGAAGGGTTAATTATTAAATTTGAGTCAAAGGAAGGTGGGGCAGTGTGAAACGAGATGGGAGGAAAATCTCGATATTACCTCTATACCATTGGTGTTCCATAGCGGGAAGAAATATTTTTAATTTGATAATTTCATATTGTTTTAATTCTTGAAATAAATTTTGGTATCGACGCACGGGCGATTTGGCTTGAGGGCGAGTGAAAATCAAAATATCTGCTACGATATCTGGACAGTGTCTCAATATACGGATATTTAGCCAAAATTTCTGTAAAAATGTACTGCTAACTGCCCCCGAAGTCAGGTTTTCTGAATCTTGCAACTTTGGGGGTAGTTAGGTTAGGTGATAGGGCAGGTTATGTTAAACAAACATAATCTGACCTAACCAACCTAACCGCCCCCGAAGTCAATTTTTGCTGGATCCGAAAGAATGCATATAGACTTATAGAGCACACGTGTTGACAGTGCGGGAAGGCCTCCGCAGAAAAAACAACCATGGAAGTTCAGATGTGAGCCGCTCCCGTTACCCTTGAACAGCACAACAGTGTAGTTGAATGGTTGGGATGGATGAGGACTTCACTTTCAGAATGACGAGAAGATGCCGCTAGTGACGCGCGCAAAAAGCAGTACCTGCTGTCGTTAATAGATGGAGCTAGGCGTCTGGCTCCCCCAACTGGGATAGCTCCCTCCCAAAGATCTTTGTCCGTAATAATGTTCTCTGTGTAACTTTTTTTTTCGGTCCGATAGGCTTCTTTCCTTACAATATAATGGTTCTCTTCGGAACGGAATGTCGTTGTGGAGAGAGTCCACCTGTATTTGCGTGTGCCGTTCCTAATTGAACCGCATTGTTCTCGGGGTTTTGCAGATGCCGAATTTCTAGTGAACGAAGAGTTCGAACCAGTACCTTTGGAAAGTAAGAGTGAATCAGCAGCGAAATCGCGGAGGTGAGTCTTTCACGAGTTCCGAAGATTGCTCGCAATTTCACCTTCCTTAATTTACCCAGAGTCGCTGTCTGTTGTTGGAGCTATCCGGATTATTGCCAGGGCTCTGATGAACTCACTGGTTATGCCAGCTTTGTGAAACGTTGTTGCGTGCAAAGCGGGTGTTTGGTGCTGGAAGTTACTCATAAAGAATTCAACGCGACGGATAAGCTCGTGACGAAAGTGCAATTTCTACAAAAGAAGCTGAAATCAATGAAGCCCTCGAGTTCTGCGTTCTCCTCGGGAAAAACGTGATATTGGCCTTGCTTTTCCATAGGGCTAGATGTTTAGTGCGCGTTTGATAAGTAACCATTCTGCAAAGCGAATGAAGCTTCATGGAAAATTATCGTTTGTCGCAGTTACTTTGAATTACTTATTCGCTGAAGTTCACAGGTGTTGACAAAAGTCGAAGTTGGTATTCGAATATGCAAGGATGTTCTGATATTGGATAGCAATCGGAAGGCGTCAGATTTTTTCCACTGATTTTTCACTAGCTGAACTGACTTGTCTTTCAGGATCAAAAGCTTTTTCAATTTTCGGATGGCGAGGAATAAGATTTGATTTTCATGGACTAGGGGTTTGAATCATCCCACTAATTTTTGTGGGAAAGAAAAATAATTTTAAACTTGAAACTACTGTGTACCTGGATCGGTTTCCGGAATAAAGGTTCCTCTGTTAGCAAGCAGGCTTACAATTGTCTGTTTTTAAAAATAAGCTCCTTATTACCTGAAGTACCACAAGCACCTCTTTCCTTGAAATTTAGAGGAAAGAAGGTGGTGCGTGTCATAAATGAATAGACATTTTTTTTTTTTCAAAAAGTCTTATGTTTTGAGTGTCCATCAGATTTGATTTTAATTAGAAATTTTGGACCATGTTCACAGAAAAACTTATTTTTTGGAACCAATTGAAAATTAGTTCAATTCAAGTTCATTTCATATCTCAATTAAAATTTGGGTGTTTTATTTTTGAAATATGGCTGTTTTTAAAGTCACTAAAATGGGGTGCATGCCTTGCTTGGGGATGCAATTACATACATTTTTGACAGAAAAATCCTGGTGTTGGTCTTTTGTGAGGGTGCACACTACTTCATTATGTACGGTACTGCCAAATATTTTGTCAGTTCGAAAAATCTTACTGAGGAAAGTGTTGATGAATTAATTGGCACACGAAAAAGTTTAGATTCATCTGTAAATATTGCGAAGATATTGAGCTGTGTTGTTTGAGCTGATCATCCAATTTTTTGCACATTTCTCGGGGGAGAAACTATACCAAATGTTATACGCAATGATTTTCACGCGAGAATTTTTTCCAATTTCTTTCGTCCAGTTGTTGACTTTCTTGTCGCTTGTTCGCCTCCCCAGAATAGTCTGGTTTTTCTCGAAAAGAGCATGTTTTTCTTCTCTTCTTCTCGCTTGCCGTGTGAAGATTTTGAGGAAGTTTCAAGGGAAAATAATGGTCTATGTGAATGCTTCGTGAGTGAGTGAACCTATTCCGCAACGTATCCTCGGGTGAGTTGCTCATGTTTTGAGAAAACTGAAATTACAACTGTGTTTTTAGAACCACTCCCTTCGTCAGAGAAAACGAAGGGAGTGGTTCCAGCATTAAATCTATGTACTGGACGGAAAAAAAAGAACAAAGATTTGCGATCAGAGATTGGCTTAACGATTTGAGATTAGCTCACTTCCTCCTTCGCTGTGGGAAACTTTCCTTTAGGACATGGCTTTCAAAATGTTCCCTGGCGTTTTGTGTGGATACCCAGCAGCAGCGGGTTTCAAGTCCCCGCCATGCTCAGAGTTTTCAGGAGGTGCAGTGTATGTTTTTCTTTTTCTTTCAATTTTCATTTTATTGATTTTTATATTGACCCATTTTTTTATTTTCACTAAAAGGCTGATGCTTTGTTCGGCACGAGAGCGAGAAGGGCTTTCGGAGAGGCCACTTTACCCATGATTGCAGTTGTTGGAATCGCCATGTTTGTGGCAGTTTCGCTCATCCGGGGACAAGCTGAACGATTACTTTCTTCATTGAAGACGATTAATTACAATGCAGACGTCACATTGAGAAGGTTAGAAAGAGTGGTCATGTGTTTGGTAACGAGGTAACTTGCCATGGCTTGAATGAGTTTATTAAAGTGTTAAATTTAGGTTTCTTTTGCTAGTGAGCTCACGAAAAAATTCCTGTATCGAGTGGAAACTATCCGAGTCTATTTTTCTGAATCTAATTTGATGGAACCAAAAAAAAAAAAAAATCGAAGTAGAGAGGTTTTTACTAGAGGAGGTCAGGGGAAACAAGACAGATACTCTTTTTACTAGAAAAATTGTTTAGTCGGGGAACTTGAAACCCGCTGTGACACAATTTTTGTTTCATTGTTTTACAAAATTAATACTGTACTTACAGAAAATTGTATTGGTCCCTGCCAATAAAGTTATTATTTTTTTTACCTATTCTTGACATTTATTTTTTGTAATGAAGCTTTTTTCCTGCTCTTAATGGCTATGTTTTAAGAATATTTTACTGAATTTTGCTCTCATGCTTCAACTTTCAGGTTATCCAGCGCATTTCAAGAGGAAGATACGAAATCTTCATCTGAAATGTTTGAGGTTTAATATAATTTTTCATGTATGCTTTACATATTGCAAGGCCGTGGTTGGAAGCTTGCAGATCTCAGCTGGACCTGGTGAAGCAGTTCACACCACCAAAGACTTATTGTGATCCGGAAACAAGTCTGATCTTTCTCAAGACACACAGAACTGGAAGCTCTACGATACAAAACACCATCTTGCGGTTTGGAGACCGGAACAACTTAACCTTCGCTTTCCCACCTCGGGGAAATTATTTTTGGTTTGCTGCCGACATTCCCAAGGAAATGTACCCTGTTCCGGGGCACAGGTTCCACTTGTTCTGTTTCCACACTGTTATGGACAAGTCAGATATCAAGAAGATGATGAGCCCGAGAGCCAAGTGGGTGACTGTCATGAGGGATCCTGAGCATGTCTTTGAGTCCATGTTCAGGTGAGGATGGATACCATTCAATTAATCGTGGCTAAAAGCTAGGATTCCTGTAAATACAATATGTAATGTATACACTATAGTTACACTGCTACAGTATATTGGAGGACCCTCCGCACTTTTCCCTCCAAAAAATTACGGACCAAAAATTGGGGTACGCGTCGTATTCAAGTACAGTGCAAACTTTGTCTGGTAATTTTACGAAATTTTCTGTGAATTACTGTTGAATCACATCACAGACATCTGAAAAATAAGGAAATTTATTTAAACTTTTATTTCAGTATAAATCGATAATTTTAGCGACCATATCTAATCCAGTACTGTACCATGCACCCTTGAGTACGAAATACACCAGGGTTTTCCTGTAAAAAAAATCGTATCCCCAAGTTAGATGCGCATCCCATTTTCAGCAACTCTTAAAACTGCAATACCGCACAGTATTTAAAAGGCTAGAAAACTCAAATTTGAATTTAGACATGAATTGAACATGAATTCAAGCAATTTGAAATTATTTCCATAAAAAAAGTTTTTCTGCAGTACTTCAATCATTCCACTTCAATTTTGATCTTGGTCCAAAATTTCCCATTAGAATCGATTAAAATGCACAATGAACATCTGAGCCTTTTAAAAAAATGTATACCTGCCTATGATGTGTACCCCCAAATCTCCTTTGAAATTTGAGAAAGAAGGGTACACCTGAAGAAGGGTATAGTTGTACACTGGTACTTGCGTTAATACAGTACTATATTATATACAGTATCTTGAAATTTAAAGATTTTTCACTGGAAACTGGGGTGCTCATCTTCTGCAGGGATATCTTACATAATTGTACAGCTCAAGAATAAAGATGTGTGTTGTTTGCAATGTTTCATGGTGTTACAGTAAGTATGATCTCGTCTTGACATGATGTACAGTATAGCATGTATGGGGGATGATCAAAACTTCAAAAGGGTTTTTATGATGTTAGAAGTGAATTCCATGGGCATACGAAACCTTGGGGAAAGGTACCTTTGCCTCCAAGTTCAGCAGCCTTGCTGTGAACTCATTTACCCAGCATTTAAGTGAGTCCCAAAATATCAGCACTTCAACCTTCGTGTAATTTTATTTTCTCACACAAAAAATACTGGTTTCTTCAACTCAAAAATTCCCCAAATTTTGAATTGTTTTAATCCCTCTGAGTTCAGTTTAAGGTTTTTTTGACTGTACAATAAAATCTTGTTGCAACAAACTTATTGGGACTTCAAAAGCCAGCAGACAAAGCTTTCATACTGAATAATTTTTATTACAAGGTTTTCAAAATTGATCACTGGAACAATTTTTCACATCATACTTGCCTATAATCCATTATTTCTTGCTTATCTGGCATTCTCAGATTTTTTTATTACTGTTTGAAAAACTAAGTGATCTTCTGAAGAAAAAAATCTGCTATCATGCATTCCATCAGTTGTACCAATATCTTTCTTTCTGGGTGGATGATTTGAAAATCTTTTTATTCTGAAAGGATGATGCTTGGAACCCTTTGGAAGCATGTGTGTCCTTTATTAAAGCTTCCATTCATGCTACTATTGCTACAAGAACTGGTCAGTTACTTTTCGGATTGAAAATTTTGGCAGTGTTTGCTGTGTAGTCAGGAAATTTCTAACAGGAGAATCAATGGAGGGGCTCTAACCAAGAGTCGCACAAGATTAACACAATTTATGAATTAACCCTTCTTTGTGTCACATCATTGAGTTTTTGTGCAAATCTAACCCAAATGAAGGGCTCCTGAGAAATAATTCGATGCTTAAAATCTAGGTATTTTGGGATGAGTGGACCGCGTTACTTCAACCAATCCTGGGAGCAACTCTTGGACAACCCTCCACCACCTGAAGGGCGCTTCAAAATGCTTCTCTATGGCACGAATCAAATCAGCCTAGACCTGGGAATGAGTGTGCATCATTTCCACATCCCAAACAGAGTGAAAGCATATCTCCAGTTCCTTGAAGAAACATTTTCCTTGGTGATGATCGCTGAGCAAATGGACGAGTCGTTGGTGTTGTTGCGACACCACTTGTGCTGGGACATCACAGATGTCGCCTCATTCCACTTCAACGCGCGGTTCAACAAAGCGCAAAGCGCGGATCCTTTGGACTCGCTCACAGAGAAGCAACGTCGCAATTTGAAGATAATCACTTCGGCAGACAGAGTCTTGTATGACAAGTTTAAATCGTTGTTTGAAGCTCGGAAAGTTGCTTTCGGGGCGGAAAGAATGAATGTTGAGACTGAAGCGTTACGTTGCGTGAGAGAGGAGCTGAAGAAAGCGTGTGGCGTGAAAACGCTGAAAGCCAATTTCATTCAGCCTTCGGGGATGTTCCAACCCTACGGACCTGCCATGGGGTTCATACCGGATCCGGATCCGAATTTCAAGGGGTACGAGGAGTTTGATTGGATTTGCAATGCCATGTCGTACACAGAAGAACGATACATTGACGTACTGCGGGAGAAGCAGAAATCGTGGCACAGATCGGACTTGTTTGCAGCGAAGCAGCGATAACACACGTTTCATTCGTCAGTATCATCATAATAATCGAATCAACTCCTGACGACTAAAATTATTGTGAATTATTTTATGCGTTTGTTACCCATGAACATGCCTGAGTTTTCCTTGGAATATTATTTATGCAACAAATCGAGGTTGTACACATTTTTCCCTTTGGAACCGAAATGTGAATGTTCAACAGACTTTTCAAGGCATTTCCAATCGTATTTTCCCACTAACTTCATCAAAATTTTTCGGGAATTTAAAATGTTTATGTACATTTCTTCTGGATGGGTCATCAATTTTATTATATAGGTTTTCGCTGAAAACTTCGCAAAATAAAAAATATTCCTGGAAAGGGCTCATGTGCAATTTCAATGTTGTTAATACTGTATAATAATCACAATAATTGAGCAAAACTGCTGGAGGATATGTAGACAGGAGCATGAATTTATTGAAACATTTCATATTCTGTACAGTGCTATGATAATGATTTTTAATGAGTAAGGACCTTTCTCCAAATTACAGGTATGCGTGGGATGTATGTACTGTACTGATACAGTATACGGTAGTTCAACTGTAGACTGCTTTATATAAATGTGCTGTACAGCAGTATATACCTTTGTTTTCTGCTGCCAGTTATTGCGGCAGAAATCTGTGAATGGGTTGAGAACTTTCTTCAATAAAATGCGGATGAATCATTTTATTCATCAGAATTGAATGCAACTACTTTTGTTGGATCATTTTTCACTGTCCCATATTGAAAACATGCTGACTCAAACTGCTGTTCTACTGCTGTATAAATGTAGCCTACGCGACAGATAGTAAATGGGATCATACGAAAGTTGTGTGAATTTTTATTTTCACGTGAAGCATTTTTTTCTTATAACCGATCAGAGGGCTTGTTTTTTCCGTTTCATGATAAGGTAATTCTTCGATTATCTGAAAAAAAGTATTTATCCTTATGCAATGTGTAACTTCAAGCAGATTTAGTTGTTTTTTTGTTGAAAAAAATGTGAGAGCATCCTGCAATTTTTGTGTAAGTATTGCATTTGCCCTCAAATGAGATTTAACCTTATTAGTTATTAATTCCCAAAATTCATGTTCTATTTATTTACTTTAATGTATTTAAAAGACATGGGGTACTGAAAATCTGGATTCTGTAAGCTTGCTTGAAAGTTGAATTCAATAAGCAATTTTGATGCTCTTGTTTCATGCAAATCATAAAATAAGTAAAGAAGGGAACTTCAAAAATTTTTGAAATATTATGCTATTTGAAAATTTTTACTGTGATGTATTTCGAACTTTTTCCTATGTAGGTTGCTTACATGAATATGTAGGTCCACCATACTGGTGTATACTGTATGTACAGTACTGCAAGCTTGCATATAGATACAGCAGAAAAACAAATTGGGAAGTGGTGGTGACGTATGAACGTGAAAAAGAACACCTTTTTTTATTCTAAAATTGAAAAACACAATTCTATAGATCCTCGAAACATGAAGAGATATAAGTCTGGAGTTCAGTTGGGAAAATTGTATCAGCCAAAGAATATACAGTACAGTACTGTACACGTCAGAATAATAGGACACTTGGAAATTGAATGCCTTAACGTAATCTAAAGGCGAATGCGTCAGATTGCTACGAAATTTAAAAATGGGGCATCTATATCATCAAGCCCAGTATTTTGAAGCGCTGATATACTTCATCAGATCTATTCGTCTGTGCATCAGGAACATTCAGAATTGTAATACTGTATTGCGCCTCCTGGTAAGGCTGACTGGATTAGTCCGTGTATAGAAGTTATCTGGGAAGTACAGTTCTGTACAATGTATATAGGGTTGATGGATTTGGGGGTACCACGAGGGTGAGAGTGATCATCGAATGATAAGTAGATGCCACAGTAGATGATAGAATTTGGGTTCATTCTATAGTTCATAGATGTCGTTACTTTTTAAAGTCATGGCGGCGCCCGTCTAAATCCTGTTGGGTCACCGAAAATTGGAATAGCGCCCTGTATTGTATTCCCTTTCCTGAATGGAGGAGGAGCTCCGTACGGGATTGACGTCATAAGGCCGTTCGTTTATCCGACGTTGTGTGTGCCCCTCTACGTCAGGGACCCCGCTGCCGCAGCTTTCGGGGGTAGGGAGTATTTGAAGTTTCGCGGGCGGTGATGCAATGTGTTAATCTTATTGTGCTTCACGTGAATTTGATGAATTCGCATTCTGAATTTTCAGGGTCTTCCCTGTCTTCAGTCCCTCGCTTTTGTTGACAGCAAAATCGAATGGTCCCTTCGTATCGTGAAGATATATTTCTGCTCTACTTGAGTTATTTCCTCTCCATCGCTTACTTTGATTTTTCGGCGTCGTAGTTGGATCGTGTGATCCGACGATCGTTCTCTTCATTCCTAATTTGGGAAATGTGCATGAACCGGAGTCATTGAACTTGCTTCGGCAATCAGACGGGTTTTATTAGCTTCTCATGGCAGCTGCCTGCTATGGATGACGGAGGCAGTCGTCCACCTGGCTGTGGTAGCGGAGGAGGGATCAACAAGCTTCCTATTCGTGTTGGATTCTATGAAATTGAACAAACCATTGGCAAAGGGAATTTTGCTGTTGTCAAATTGGCCCGGCACCGCATTACGAAGACGCAGGTTATTTTCTTTTTCATTCGGAATGTTTATTCAGAATTAGCATGATCTTCGTGGAATTCGATGAATCGACAATCTGCTCTTCGTCGAAAGGTTGCCGTGAAAATTATTGACAAGTCGCAATTGGATAGCAGCAATTTGGAGAAAATATACAGAGAAGTAACGATTATGAAGCAATTGAATCACCCGCACATAGTGAAGCTGTATCAAGTTATGGAGACAAAGAATATGTTGTATCTTGTCACGGAGTACGCCAGCGAAGGAGAAATGTTTGGTAAGACCGTTTTCTTTGTGAAGTGTACGAAGCAATGACGTTTAATAGCATGCATCTATGTCCAGATTATATTGCAAAGAATGGCCGATTGGCAGAACCTACTGCAAGACGTAAATATTGGCAAATAGTATCTGCGGTGGAGTACTGTCACAAAAAGAAAATCGTTCACCGAGATCTCAAGGTAATTAAAATTTTCCTTTAGAGAAATCACATTGCAATGCTGACCTTCCTGAATGTTTTATTCATCAGGCCGAGAATCTGCTGTTGGATCAAGCAAAAAATATAAAAATTGCTGATTTTGGATTCAGCAACTATTATGATCCTGACGGTGGGCATTTATCGACGTGGTGTGGAAGTCCTCCGTATGCCGCTCCGGAAGTTTTCGAAGGAAAACAATACGTTGGTCCTGAAATCGATGTTTGGGTGAGCGAAATCGTTCATTGAGAAGTTTGATTCCAGCCCAAGGGAAGATTCACATTCGTTTGATGACCTGTTGGCATTGTGGAAGCTACACAGCAAATTACCTTTTTCCTCAATGTATTTTGAAGTGTTATGATTACAGTTTTTTTAATCTGATGAACTGCAATTCTGCCGGCTTAATTGAAAATTTCGAAAGTTTTATTTGTTTAAAATTTATCTTTTCAGAGCTTAGGTGTAGTGCTTTATGTCCTCGTCTGTGGAGCGTTACCATTCGATGGATCAAGTCTGCATTGTCTGCGTGACAGAGTATTATCCGGAAGATTTTGGGTTCCGTACTTCATGTCAACTGGTGAGCTTGGGGTTGAACTTTTTTGTGTCTTGCCCCATATTTGACTGAATGCTGTATTCAATTCCAGAGTGTGAAAATTTAGTAAGAAAAATGCTTGTTGTCGAACCTACGAAACGCTATTCTCTGGACGAAGTGAAGAAGCATCCTTGGATGAACATGGGCGATCCGCCGAAACTTCTTCCACCACGACCAGATATTCAGATGGATCTCAATAATCAAATAGTGCGCTTAATGCAAAGTCTGGGTATCGACCAAGTGAAGACACGCGAGGTACTCGAAATAATTCACGTCTCGAAATAATTTAGTGCTTTGGTTTCTCTTGTATTGATTACTGTAGTTTTCATTCAATTCTGATTGTAAATGAAAAGCGATGATGGCCACAAAAGGCTGAAAAAGTTCTGAAACTTATGTTCTTCAACTTCCATGATTCTCAGGGGGAAGACGATTGTTACTCTAAAATTGAGTGCAGTTATTTTCTCGTCTGCGTGAAGATCCATCTTGAACTAGAGGATCAGATGAATGCATGCTTTCAAGTTTCAACAACGTTAACTCGTGATTGAAATTTTTGAAAGTTGCTGGGGTACGTTTTGATCGATTCTTGGATGTTTGTTTGCAGTCGGTACAGAAAAGGAATTTCGATCACCACTCCGCGATATACATGCTTTTGGTGGACAAATTGCATCAGCATCACAGCACCGGTGTATCAGCGGTTTCATCAGAAGCCTCTGGCCAAAGACGTCCAAGTTGTGTGGCTGACAATGCGATTATGCGACGTATCGTCGATCCTTCTTCCTTACTTCCTTCAACTGGTCGCCGGGAACTTGTCCGAATGGAGACCTCACCAGACTCGCATCTCTCCACCGTTCCGTCGAATGCATTATACTCTGAACCTTCAGCCCCGTTCGGACTAAATGTCGTTCACGAAGACCAAGTGGCAGACACGAGTCCCTACAAAGGATTGTCCATTGATGAAGGCGTCGAGTGCGAAGCTGATGTGTCGGTGTCAAGCTCGAGCTTGAGTCTGTGTGATTCAGTACACGTTCGTGGGCGTATTTTGCATCAAATGTCTCACCAGTACAGCAGAGACTCTGGTGTTTCTGGTCCGTACATGTCGGACGCGTCTCCTCGTGGCAGCATGGTTAGCTCCATGTTTGAAAGCTTCGACTCGCAGCATACTGACGGGGGACAAGCATCGTGTGTGGGTGATATGAATTCGGAGACAGAGTGGGGAGTGGGTCAGGCAGGTCAGCCTGAGAGTATCGGCAGGATGGTTGCAGTGTTGGACAGTGGAGATGGACAGGCGACAGGCGAATTATGGGAATCGAGGGACGAGTTTGTGGGTGGCTTAGTGGACCTGTGCGAAGGTCAAGATTTGTTTGAAGGATCCGTCACGCAGAGGCTGAATGAACCCGGAAAATGTGAAACGCTGATAACCGAATCTTCACTGACCAAAAGCAGCGATGCGTATCGGGGATTCATGAGATCCGAAGAACAGGTAAGCGCGTGCCCAATTGAATAATCAGTTAAGCAATTGTCAGTGGGACCCCGACATATGGACGATTTGACTTCAGGGAACTTGCAACTCAGAAAATCTGCCCCCGGACATCCGGAAACTGTCCGGAGGTGGAGACTCTTTTCCGAAATTTCTTGACAAAATTGAAAAAAAATATTTTTAACAATTTGGATATCTCTTGAACAAATTGAGCTGCATTACCTATATTCACAAAACTTGAGAAGACATTTCATTATAAATTTACCGTAATTCATAATTAAAAACAAGTTGATTTTTGCTTCTGTTTTCAGAGTTTTTTCCATCATCTGTGCACAGTATAGGAAGACTTATTTTTGTTCTGTGCTTTTTGAGCTCCTCTTGATGCCAAAAGGTCAGATTCTGTTTGGTTTCCTTCTGCACAGTTATTTTCTATGTCTTGAAATTCAGGAACAATTTTTATTCAATTTTTGGGGGAACTTTTACCAAGATTTCCACAAACAGATGAACCAATTAGATCACTGAAGTACAGTATATGGGGAAACTCGATCGGACAGGCGGATGCTCCGACATAGGGACAAGGTCAAAGCACCGATTTCGTCCTCATCTCAGGGCCCAACTTTATGTTGTGTGATGAATCTATCCCGTGACGTAAACTGAATTGTCTACATTATGATGAACGGAAGAGTTTTTCCTTTTTTTTTCAGGCGAGCCATGATCAGATGGTGAATACAGGAAAATCTCTGTGGTCGTCGTCAGCAGCGAGGCGTTTCTACGCTGGTCATCTCCAGCCAAAGTTGCATCCATCTTCTTCAGCAGAGCATTTGAGTTTGATGAAGCACTCGATCGCTCGGCAGGCAAATTTTGGTCATTACGGTGGCGATCAGTCACGATTTTTGGCATTCCAGAACAGCTTTCCGCAGCAATCGTCGAAGCAACTCGGTGGAGTGAGTGCAGCTTTTGTGTGTATTATGGTGTGCCCATTAATTGAAGCACGAGGTCTGCTGAAGAAATAATATCCTGGGAGAAGACCAGTGCCTATCATTGGTGAAAACGGCAAATTTTAATGCAATTCAGGACAAAGACAAGTTTCACCACACGTCGGCGAATTTCAACAGATTTGTTGTAGTCAGTCATTATGGGTTTTATCTGTGTAATATTTTTCGGGCCTGCCTCGAATTACGTGCAAACTGCGCATCATGAAGTTTCGGTTTTCTTCTGAAGTGCGAAAAGTAGGTGGAGATCTGGAATGTTGATTTCAGCGCAATAATGTCAGAAAATTGACCATTTATGAGTAGAGAAATTCCATTTTTAATTCGAATAGATTCCCGGAAGGCGCGCAGAAAATTCTATGTCGATCAACATAATAAAACTGCGAAGAATTCTGTATTACAGGAACTGATTTGGTCTTACAAAGCCATTTGATTGCTGAAGAAATTTTAGAGACTTGGAACTTTCTGATGGCTTGTTGAAGATAATTCAATAAAAATGAAGTTTTGCGTTCTGCAGTAATCATGATTACAATTTACAAAAATCCTCGGGGAAAATTGTAATTTTGTTCAATAAATTACTCAACTGTCAGAACCAAAGATTTGCTAGAATCTAAGCCTCTCAAAAACTGTGTTAAAATTCTCTCTCTGCCATTGATTCCTTTTCCTCAACATCGAGGAATGCTTTATTTTTGAACACGGTGTAAATTGGGGCCCAGAAATACGGACGATTCGACTTGGGGACGATCGCAAAAAAAAAAAAATCTCTCCGATGATCTGGATTATGTCCCGCGTTATGGACGCTGCCTGAAATTCTAGATAAATTGAAATTTGTTTATGTTCAAAAATTTTGATATTTCTTGAACAAATTGAACTATTTAATTTTAACAAAAATGAAAAATAAATTCTATTGTAAATTAAGTCCAATTTACAATCCATAACAGTCTGTTTTTGTGCGAAATTTTTTAGTTTTTCTATCTGTGCGCAGTTTGGCAAGATATTTTTTGCTTTTTGGGTTTCTTTTTATGCCGAAATATCAGATTCTGTGTGTTTTTTTTTCTGCACAGTTATTTTCCGTATCTTGAAGTTTAGGCGAAAAATTTTTGCTGGAGTTTTATGTGTGACTTTTTGATAATTTTCGATGAATGGAAGAACCTATTAGAGTAATTGCATGTATAGGTTCCCTCGAATTCTATCGGAAAATGTAGACATTTTGACTTGGGGACAAGGTCCAAGCACCAATTACGTCCGCATATAAATCATCTGGATTTTGTGACTGACGGGTTTGGATTGATTGATGGCATTTTTTTTGACGCAGCTCGCCGTGTTCCAGCCGATTGCTGAGGACCACGTCATGTCCCCGGGCAGTCCTGGTACCCTGACCCATTCCCTGTCCTTGGGTGCTCCTGATCAAGCAACTTACCAGCCGAGTCAGTGGGACGACCAGATGATGGCTGAGCAGATGGAAGGCGCCGCGGCTCCGGCAAATTGGCAACAGTTGTCTTCTGCCATGGCTGCGTGTCAACTATCAAATTACAGTTCGGCGGGCGATGTCATGAATTTTGGCGGAATTCAGCGAGCGTCGACGACCATGTCGACTGCGGACGCCAGTTCGTGGAATGTTTCTTGACACTAGCTCGGGGGAAGAGGGGGACTTTGAGCGGCGGCGGCAGTCTGGCGCAGCGAAAGCTTTAGACGATAGGGTTTTTTCCTAGATCTTCCGAAGCTGCAGTTGCTTGATTTTTAGCTGATTGCTGTTCAATTTCTTCTGCAGTACTTTCTTCGAAAAATTGTCCAAATCCCGTGTTTTGGTTGTGAATTTGTCTGTTGAATCAAGGACAGTCCGGTGGTCTTCTTCTTTTACTGGCTAATTGTAGATGCGTTTCGACATACAGTACTGTAGTTGAATCATTTCTTACTTCATTCTTTGATTACATTTTGAGTCCGAGTGAGTTTCAGCAAAAGTGAAAAATCAGCAAGGGTAGCTTCTGAAATATCCGCAGCTTTTGTGTAGGAGAAAAAGGAAAGATTTTTCTTTTGACACGCAGGGTGGTTAACTGATGAATTCATTCATCCGTGATTTTTGCAAATAATGTTGCTGAGAATTGGAGAAATTTTGGGTGAGGATTTCGAAGAACACGGATTCAACTTTTCTTTCGGGAACTCGCGATTTGCCGCAAGAGTTATGGTTGCTCACAACGAAAGGTCACGAGTGATGGCTGGAAAATGTAGCGAGATTTTTTTTCGGCGTCTAGGCGATTAGATCACTTTGAGAGAAGGAGAGAGAGAGAGAAAGAGAAATCGGAAATTTTTAAAGAAGGATATACTGCAACACGCTGTGGTGAAAGAAATAGATAAGAGTAGAGGAAAAATTACTTGCGGGGTGGAGAAATTTGAGTCATGATGCAGCAGAACATTGTTTTTGTTCCTGATGCACATATGTATGAGCGGAAGTGTAATACCACTTCCGAGAAGGAAAAAACAATTTTGATTTCGCGGACAAGTTTTTTGAAATAGTTAAGAGTGCAAATACGAGTCTAGTCAATTCCCTCCCCCCTTCCTCCTCAGTTTATGGATGAAATTGAAACTCGATCCTACCTGTGATCACACGGAATGCTGGCGAGTCAGAAAAGCAATTTCCTCCCGAACCTGTTGACTGCTATCAAGTTTTATTTTCGCGGCGTCATACGATGAAAGGGAAATTGTTCATAAATTTCTAGGATTGACCACGTGACGTGATCAATCCTTGAGCTGAGTTTCTGAAAATATATCCGGGAATAAAAAAAAAAAAAAAAGGAATGTCGCTTCAGTAATATAATCAAGCAAAGTACCCAATGTAATTCAGCAAGAATGTTCACATGAATTTTTTCTCATCATTGTCAAGACTTCATTTTTTGTCAATCGAAGAACACTTCTCTGCGTTACAGTAATTTAATCAATTTTCCTGGATTGACACTCATGCGAACCAATCTGAGCAATTGCCAATTGTTACCAATTGTTTTTTTTTTTACATGGTTTTTGGCTGTTGAGGATTTGTCTGGCACCCGTCAACATTTTTATTGCAAGGGCAGTGGTTTTTTGTTCGTTTTTATTTTCCAACCAGCTTATGTTATGCGATTCATTATTCGTTTCTTTTTACTTGGTTTATTGGGCGACTGGAACATCCTTTTCTTTTGTTGGTGAAATCAAATCGGTCGGAAATGATACTTCCGGAAATGCATTATTGAGTGTTCATTGCATTGTGATCTCGCGCTTGATTTCCGTTAGAGCAAGTGCTCCCAATTTCGAGGATAATATTCTTTCGTTGTGGTTTCGTTGATATTCCGATTAAAAAAAACGTTGAGCGGCGAAAAAAATCCTGTACGATAATATATTGCGAGAATTACAACGGAGAGCCAATATGACTAGGATTTTCATTGCTTTTGAAATTTGCTTTCACGCCTTCGTGTGTACTCAATGTCTGCCGTGATGTTCTGTAAATTTCCAGGGAAATTCCGCTGCAGTGCCCGAAAATGCCACCCAAGAAATCTGGCGAAAAAGTTGGGGCCAAGGGCAAGGACGCCAGTGCATCAGGCGATTCAAAAGGAAAAGAAAAGAAAGGGGGAACTGCTGTCAAAGTACGAGATATTGTGTTTACATGTTGCTCTATTTTTGTAGATAATAGGTGATTCTTTTTATTCAAGGTTCGGCACATATTGTGTGAAAAGCAAGGAAAAATCATGGAAGCCATGGAGAAACTGAAATCAGGAATGAAGTTTAACGAAGTCGCTGCTGCATATAGTGAAGACAAGGCACGATCAGGGGTGAGCAGTTCCATTTTGTTTCTGGAAACCCCTATTTCATCCTGCCTTAATTATTGGTTAATTTGGTTTGAGAGAAGCCCAGTCAAATTAACAGCTCAGTACACGATTTGGCATGTGCGTCATTCCTAGTTTTGTGTTGCTAGAAATTCAAGTACAGATACCTCATTCTCCAATGAACGCCCCTGGCATTTATTCAAAATGTTGGACTTTCTCCTGGCATCTGATAAGAGACAGCACTTATTTACGGTCAACAGTTATGACTGAAAGACAAAAGAAAAAAATCCAGTTGAAAAATATAAGAAACCTTTCGATGGCAATTTTTTCTTGGGAAATGAGACAAGGAATGCTTTAAGAATTGATGATAAAAAAAAGGGTTTCTTTCTTTAGCTTCGAGTTAAATCTTGTTTGAGGTAATAATTCATATTTAACATTATTTAAATCGTGTGCTTTTATTTTTGCAGTTTTCCTGTGACAGAAGATTAATTTTCTGACGAGGTATTCATTGAAATTTGTGTGCCCATTGACCACCGTGTGTGTTTCCACTCATGAACTTGAATGCCAACTTCTCCAATCTTGGGTACATTTTTATGCGTATATCTTCTGCGTTTTTTAAATGCAATGGCATGAGGAATTGAACTAATTTCATTATTGTATTGCTTCAGGGTGACCTGGGGTGGATGACAAGAGGGTCAATGGTTGGTCCCTTTCAAGATGCAGCATTCGAATTGCCGATATCATCTCTTGGAAATGCAGTATACACTGATCCACCTGTCAAAACAAAGTTTGGCTATCACATCATCATGGTTGAAGGAAAAAAATGAACCATTTCTTCAACTTTTACAATCGTTTTGTTTTTGAAAACAATTAATTAGCATGAATTATTCGTGAATAAGGTGTTCACGATTGTATAGATCATCGTCAGGGTCAGGAATTTTATTTTTTCTTCTCTCCAGGAATTATGTGATTGATTCGAGACGCGTTATCGAAGGAAATATGTTTGGTCGATTCCGCCTGCTTTTTGGGCGGAATGCTCCAGCACCACCACTTATGCTCGGTGGTGTCACGATCTTTGGGAGAGAATTCTTCGTATCAAATGGTTGGTTTACAATGACTGCCTTCTACCGTGTTTACTTGAGTACCGTGCGATTTTCATTTGACTGTAAAATTACTTCATACTGGTGAACTCCCTCTCCAACAAAATTCATGGGACCATAAAAAAAAGAATTGTTGTAGAGAACTCCTTTAGCATGAGGAGATTATCCTATGGGACCAGCAAACAATTCTTTATACAGAGAAATGTGTTGAGAGATAAGAGTCCAGGTTCATATTTGAGTATCAGTTGCCCTCAAGAAAGACGCACACCTGAATTTTTCAGCCTAAAATTTGGATAAAAATGTATCCATGAGTAAGACACACTCCATTGTAGAGACCAAAAATTGCAATGTTTTAAAAATAAAAGGAATCAGAATTTAATCATAGTCAGGTTGAATTTTAATTTTCCATTGTTTCCATTTTTGATTTATTGAATTGTCTATTGAAATTTATTTGAATTCCCTATTGGAAGTATGACATGCACCAAAGTTTTGCAATGATGGCAGGTTACCCATTCATTAAATGCACCCTCTTTTTTCCTCTTAATTAAAAAAATGCTTGCTGTACTTGAGTAAATGTGATAATAATCTTAACTTTTATTTCTTGAATTTAAAAAATTTTTAAATGTTAACTAGGGAGTTCATATTATGGAGGAATATTTTTGCATCTCAGTTTGAAGTTGAATGTCTCAAATGTGAGGGAATGGGTTACTTGTGTAAATACAATATTACCCCAGACTTATAGACCAATTATTGTTTTGTTGTTTGTAAAGTTGGACTTTCTTTACAGTCCAATTCAAGGGACCAGAAAACATTTTGTTGAAGGGAGATTTCTGCTGTGGAGAACCTCTGTAACATGGGGTGAGAATCTTCATGTGTAACAGAGGAAATTGTTGTTGACAAGATCATTGTACACAGAGTCCATCTGTAATACAGTACTGTTTTGAGATTTTTGACCAAAAGTCAAAGCAAATGGTTGACCACAAAAATGAATTTCCCTTTGGCAAACTGTGGAACTAGGGCATGGCTTGTTTTTGCTCACTCAGGTTTCATATGCTGAGAGTAGTTCCCATTCAAGTCTGATTCTTCTGATGCGTTTTGAGTCTTTTTCGGGTACTTCTTTTTGACCCCACCCCGAATCCAATCCGTCTGAGCCATGGTTTCGTAATCTGATCTAAGAGAAATCGTTTTTGCGTCAGCGAAATAGCAAAGGGTTCTCAAGATGAATTCAGCAGTTGATGTTTCTAACGACTTTTGTGTACATTTTTACAGACACTCCACGCATGTCGGAAACTAGGAAAAGAATTTTGGAGAGGATCGAGGATCCGAATGAAACCGGATTGGACCGTCTCCAAGTGATGTACAGCTTTGATGAATACGGAAATCTGAGTCCGGAACTGGGCCTCGTGAAATCCGGATTTCTTCTTGGTTTGCTCGGCGGAGGAATCGTCGGGGCCACGGTCCATGCTAAGTTAGTCCAAGCGTTGTTCTTCGAAGTCCTCGTCGCAAATAATCTTCGTTTTTTTTTTCTTGCGCAGCCGGTTTAGTGTGCATGTTTGAGCGTTTGAAAATTTCTGTTCGTTTTTGAAGCTGCTCATTGTAACTTTTTCTGTTATATATTTTTGATCGCCTCTGCTGCAAAAATGACAACTATGAGAAATGTTTCTTGAAGCCTGGATGCCTAATTGTTTAAAGACATTCCACTGTAGCTTCTTCATTGGTTTGTAACTCAATTTTTGCAATACAAGTTTTGGGTGGAAGACTTAATGGCAGGTTTCTGAAAAATATGTCTGGTGGTCAGCAAAAATTTAATGGAAATTCGCCATTCCGTGAGCTTAAAAAGATTGGGGATCACCGCATTGTGAATTGTCGGGCTTTTTGTTGGTTTTTTTCATTACAGTATTTCATTGGTTACTTTTGCTACTTTTACAGAGAAGCTCTGCACACATTCATACGACAAAATACTGAGCGGCAGTTCATGAACCACCTGGAAGCCAAGCGAGCCCTTCAAGATAAAATTTACCTGGCCATGATGAAGGCAAGTGTTGTTTTTCGGATTCTCTAAAAGTCTGAATCATGAAATACTGAACCTACTGTGTCGAGATGTTTTGAAGTTTTTGTAAAACCTGTAAGAAAAATTTACAACATGCACCTCCATATTCAACATGGATTCTCTGAAGATCTAAAACTGTCAAGAGATACAGTCAAACGTTGATTCAGTGCCACCATTTGTCCTAGCACATTTTTCATCTCTAAGCAAAGGTGGCATTAAATTGAAGGTACAGTATTGTAGGACAGGGAGGTTTAGCCAAGAGTTTCTATTTTTATTTGCAAAATGAGATCGCTTAAAGCATTTTTAAGCCAGTCAGTCTGTTTTATAAGAGAGAAAGCCACAAGAAATAATTTGAAGCTGAAATATACTGTATGTATATTATGCCTACAAATATGTTTTCTGACAGAATATATTCGATTTTTAAACATATGTCCAGTGAAAGAGCAGACCAATCATGAAAGAGCAGATCTTGTTTCTCAAGATTTTGTTTACATTTGAGTTTCAAATCAGGTGCTGTCATGATGGAATCTTCAATTTTTCCACAGAACCTTCCACTTTTTTTTAAATTTTCAACAAAGAAAGGTGACATGCAAGGAAAAAGTATTTTCCAGTAATGTAAATTTAAATACAATTTTCTAAATTATCCCGAGTTTTATGTCAGCTTTGGGTTATGATTATAATTCATAACCCCATTATATTCAGGAGGAAATTTTCAGGATTTATTTAATTTTTAAGCATGACAAAATATTTTTTGTGGCACCGAGTTAGTTGACACTAAATTGGGGTTTCCTTAAGAATGTGATGGAATGGAATTTATGTTGGGAAATTTTTTGGCACTGTGCAATTAGGGTGGCAGTAGATCGGGAGGCAGTGAATCGAGGGTTGACTGTACATTATAAGTATTGAATTCGTTAGTCAGGGCATGTTCAGAACACTTCACTTTATTTGCCGCTTTTCAGCGTTCACAAGGTTCAATCAAGATTCCCACGACCAAACCCTGATGAGAAATCATATAAAGCCAACAGTTTATCTTGATCCTTTAAGATTTCAGAAAGGGTCTCTTAATTGAATTCCAGTACTTGTAAATCTATCTTAAGCTTGTTTCTATCAGTATGAAATGCTGGACATAAGAAGAGAAGGTGCTGGTGATGCACAAACTAATGTATTTATGCTGCAGGTGTTACACTGCTTAGACACTTTTAAAAATTGGATGATTTTTTTACTGAAGTCCCATGAATTTGTCAAAAGAGCATGTTCAAAGAATATGTTGGTGTTCAAGCAACTGAAACGAAGTGGTAAAAACTATATTTAACTTATTTTCATGGAAACAATGTAAAATTAGTTGAACTCGGGATGAAGACGTTGCGTTAATAAGATTCATTCCATGTTTCATTCGGCTATTTCCGTTTTTTTTTTTCGTGGGTGAATCGGAAGTCGTTACATCTATTTTGTTTTTGCAGGGTGGGGCGAAATGGGGCACCAAACTCGGACTATGGACCAGTAGTTTTCTTCTTGTTGGTATGACGATAGCCGTGTACCGGAACAAGTCGGGTTTCTTTGAGTACATCGTCGGGGGTGCAATTGTAGGAACGTTGTTCAAGTTCTCACTTGGCCCCAAGGGGATGTTGGCGGGTGCTTTTGGAGGTTAGTACAGTGAGTTCTGCGTGATTGGTCGGTCAATTGGTGCATACTTCGTTTGTCAGCGTTCTGAATCTACCCGTTTGGAGCCGAACCTCTTTGAGTTGAACTTGAAGGGACCAGCAAACAAACAATTTGACTTAATAATTTTTTTGAGTTGGGGACAAGCATTTTTGCAGGGGAGAGAAAGAGGAATTGCAGGAAATTGTAACTGGTGATATTCTTGGCCTTGAAAAGCTCCTTGAATAAATTTACAGGATGCTGAACTTAAAGGCGATGGTTCATTTTCACAAGTAATCTTTCACTTTTTTCGAAACACATCAAGTTATATTTTTATTTCTTTTCTCTTTTATGTGTCCATTAAATAATAGCCGAAAGGCCTCAAAAAATTCGATTTATGGAGGTTTGAGATGAGATTCTTTCGAGATGGAGAAGTTTTTAATGCTTCGATTCCAAGGGAATTCAGATGGGGACTCCCAAGAAAATCCGACTCTATGGAGTTACAACTGTACTTCACAAGTTTTGTTTTCCCGTATTTTGAAAATTGCTAGAAATTCAATGGTACGTGCAGTCATAATCCAGAACAAAGATTGATCACACTGCGACTATTGAGGAAAATGAGTTTGTTATAACGAGATGTTTATAAAATTGATTTTATAAAGAAATTGCTGACCAAAAAATTCATAATTACAAGATTCGTTGTAACGGAATTTTACTATATTACCTTTATAACTTCGTTGAAAAATAATCCTTTTCATTGAAGAAAAACTGAAGATGATCGCATCAGCTCCTATAGTCCATTCAAACCAAAGGGTTGTTCATGGGGTGATTTCTTTTGTGCTGCAGAATTCAGTGAAACAGAACAGATAGTCTATTTATTCTTAAGAAAACTCTCGAGTATTCTTCCGAGGACGATCAAGTTCCGCTGCCTGTAACTGCAGCAGATATAATTGATTTTTAATTGAAATGTATCATGGCATTGACCCATTTTCTCGTTCTGTTCTTTTAGGCGCGGTCGGTGGAGTGGTAGCTGGCGCCATGAACAGTCTGATTGGTGTGGTTGCTGGATCTTCAATATCGGAGCGTCGATATTGGATGTACAAATTGAGAGAAAAATCCAACGAGTGAGTTATTTGCGCGCTATTTTTCCATTCCCTTCTTTGGTCGCTGGATTTAGTGGGACCCCGAGATACCGACGCCCCGAGCCCCCGACATACGGACAGTTCGACTTGGGGACACTTGACACTGTAAAAAAAAACCTGTCCCCCCGACATCGGAACAATGTATCGAGATATGACCTCTGATGCCAAAGAGAACGTACAGACTGCTGCGAAAATTTGTGAAAAAAATAGGATTTTTTTCAACATGTTGATATATCCTGAATACTGTAAATTCAAGAGATATTTTATCCTCTTCTAACAAAACTTGAAAAGGAATTTATTTAAAATTTACTTCAATTTCTGATTCGAAACAGGGTAATTCTGTAGTTCTTATGTTTTTTTCCATCATCTGTGTTCAGTATAGCAAGAGTAGTGCTTTTTGGGTTCTTTTGCATGTCGAAAGATCATATTCTGTGTGGTTTTATTCTGCACTGCAGTTATTTTCTGCATGGTGAAGTTGAGAAAAATGTAATGATTTTTTGGGAATTCCCCCCGCCCCAATTTTCGATAAATAAAGAACCAATTGAAAATTTCTCCTGTTGAAGTCAGAAAGCATTTGACAGTCAGACGTTCTTACCTATGGACAAAGTCCAAACATCAATTATTTCTGCATCTTAAGGTCTCACAGTGTTTCCCTCTTATGCTAAAGGATGTTTCCAATGATGGCTTATTCGTCCATTCTCTGTGCTGATGGAACACTTAAATTTGCCATACTTCATTATACTGTATCAACATCTTTTAGGTGGAAGAAAAAAGGAAACTTTTTGAAATATTGTGGTGGCTACAAGTGATGCAATGGAGCTTTGTGAATGCAGGGCCTAGAGTTCGTGCAATTTTTATTTCTTTGAATGTATTCTGAAGAGCGCTTGGCCAGGTTAATTTCTTTGATACTGTAAAATCGTGTCACAACAACCTTTTGGGGACTTCAGAAAGCGTTTTTTTTAATGAAAAATGTGTTATGAGAAAATGTTCAAAATTAATGACTGGAAATTTTTTAAAATCAGACCTGCCAGTGATAAATTAAATCTTGCTTCTCTAGCATTTGCAAATTTTTTGTTATTGAAAAAGCAAGTGATCTGGAAAAAATTAGCTTTAATGATGCATTCCATCAGTTGCAACAATATCTTCATTCTGGAGGGATAACATGAAAATCTGTTCATTCTTGGGTGATGATTTGTGGAACCACTTGGAAACATGTTCATCAATGATTACAGTCTTCATTTTTGCTACGAGAACCAGTCAGTCACTTTTGGAATTTTTAAATTTTAGACTCTGCCTCCGTCAGGAATTTTTACCTGGAGAATCTATGAAATATTCCCCAAAAAGTTCGTTATAATGAGATTGTTTCAACATGCAATCTATGGGTTTTCTGCCAGGACTTGAGAAAAAGCTTCTTATACTGAAAAGTTTGTTTGTAACTGTGTGAAAAATTTGTTAAATGTTTGTTGTTAAAATATTTGCTCCAACATAATTTTATTGTCTTCTATTTATCAATGTACCATATGCTATGTTAATGGTTACTTGAACTCCAAGAAGAGACCTGAAAAACTTCAATATTTAATCCAAGGTGACTGAATGATTTTCTTGACAACAATGTCTTCGTTGTAACGAGATTTCACTGTAATATACAGGCACGTTTGTTATCGAATGTTTCTTATCCGCAGAACCCAAGACTACCTTGTGACTGTGAGTCGGCAGGTGAACGACGTTCTCAACCCGGATTACGTCGTCCACGAATGTCGCATTCTTTCTGAAGAAGAAGAACGGAGAAAAGCTGCGATTGAAGAAGCTCGTAAGCAAGTTGCTGCTGACGTAGCTCAAGTTGGAAAAATCGGTAGCAACAGTGAAACACCACCACCACCACCACCTGGATCTAAACCATCAGCTGTGGCTAGTGAAGCGAAATCATGAAATTAGTTCATGGGATTCTTTATGAGAGGTATTGCCTCATTGTATCGCGTCATTGAATATAACGGATGTTAGCCAAACGTGTCCTAAATTGGTTTGAAACGACGACATCATCCAAATGGGTTAAATCCATGAGTGATCCAAGATTTTTACGAGGGTTGGTTCATAAGTTTTGAGACTTTTTGAAATAGATCCAACGGAGTTTCAACAATTCCAAAACGAATTTTTACTCGCGTAGCCCCATCATTTGGCAACACTTCGGTGCTGTTCAACACATATGCATTTTTTCATGCAATAAATGCTGTGAGGATCAAAAACCGTGCCAAAAATCGACTTGTGTTATTATTTGATTAGGCACCCTTTGATTTCTTGCTGTTTTCGATGGTGAAGAATGACCAGAAACGGATTGATTTTGAGGACAGGGTTCAGCCTCATTTCCAGGGTCAAAGGGCAGCTCAATCAACCATTGGAACTCAATTTTTGGCATGGTCTTTATCCTTATTGCATGAAAAAATGCATAGGAATCGGTGGATAGAATTTTAAATAGTACTGAAGTGTTGCCAAGTGATTGGGCTATGGGAGTACACTATTTTTTTTGAAATTGTTGAAATTCCTTTGGATCTATTTCAATTAGTTTCTAAACTCATGATCCAACCCTTGTAAAAGATAACCCAGTTGGATCAGTGCTGTTCAGAAACGTTTTTCAACACCGTGCTAACAGGGTTGGAGCAATTCGGGCCAAGATCATCCAAACGTCATTGGCGCCGTCATCTACACTGGAAAAAGGAAACTGTGTGACCAGGCGGAATTTTAAGAGGAAAAAATGATGTGCATGAATAACATTTCAATGACCTTCTCCTCCGGCATTTCTACGATGGGATTTCTACATGCCTGGGAAAGGTTGCTTCTATTCGGGCTTAGCCATGCTGGTCTTATTTGAACTGTGAAGGAAATCCCACGAAAATAACGGATGGTCTCCATTCGTCGAGTCAAAGGTCAAGACCTTTTAAAGACCAGGTAAAATCAGATACACTTTTTTCGACTGACTCCAGTTATACTTCTATGCTTCAAGTGGTATCTTTTCCTAAATATGCTCTTGCATATGACAATTCTGATAGCAGTTGCATTCCGTTATGACGAGTTTTTTGTGGTACGTCCCGGCAGTTTCTTCATGAGGACAAGGTTATGAAGATTTTTCATGACTAGCTAATTTTCTGCTACAGTATAATCTCAGTGTAACAATTTTTTTCCTTGATTAGGGGAAAAGGGTGGAAGGACATTGCACTAATCGGCACAATATGGGAAGACTCATATTTTGCATAATGGAAAAACCGATATTTTGCATAATGGAAAAATCGATATTTTGCATAATGGAAAAACCCGTATTTTGCATAATGGTAAAACCCATATTTTGCATGATGGAAAACCTTTGAAAAGTATGAATGCCAGTCTTTTTGTCCAGAAAAATTAAGTTACCATTGTAGGAATTATGAAGCTCTAATCAACATTTATTTAGCTTTTTTTTAGAATTTTGAAATGGTTAATTTCTTTGAAAAAAGTCTGCCTGGAAGCATATTCCTCTATTCAGGGAACAAACAGTTTTTTAACCCTTCTGTGGCGAAATCTGGATATTTTTGCAAAATTGTGTTCCTGATAGCACAGGAATAAAAAAATATTATCTAGGGATCAAGGCCTAAGTTGGGGGAAAATCCAGTGTTTTTATCTTTGCTGGCAGAAAATGTAAAAACAAATTCCTCTCTTGGTGGCATTTTTCCTGCATTTCTAGCATAGGATTAGCAATGGACAGTTTAAAAGCAAAAGGATTCATTCTTCCCAGATTTTTCCCAACTTAGTCCTTCTCAGGCCAGGTCCCTTTCAGTGACCTTGGATCAAACTGAAATGAGCCTCTGGGCAAAAAATCCTGACTTTGCTGCAGGACAAAAAGGTGGCTGTCATCATCTAAGAGTTAATGAACAAATGCTCTCCTTAGTTCTTACGCATGTAGTTTCTGTTAGTTTCAGCTCATACTTCAGTAAGATCAGTATATTCTTAGAGAAGTTGATAAGAGGAATTTTGAAATGAGAGAATCCTATTTCCCATTCTGAATTTTCTCCATTATTCCAGCAAAATAAGTTGGAAAACCTGGAAATTCTTGACAAATCCTTTTATAGAAATACTTTATAAAGCTTACCTGTTCCCCACACAATTTCAGTCCTGAAAGAACCATGAATCTCGTTGCAACGAATTTTTCTCTTGTGAATGTCTTCCAACAAGATTTTACTGTGGCTGTTGCATAGTGATGATGCTCCTGTGATTGTTCCAAAATCCCATATCTTCCAATGAAGTTCTTTTCAACGTTGGTTATACAGTATATATTTTTGTTGCTGATCCAAAAATGGCCCTGCCGCCAATAACGCGGAAGGTGCAATAAATAAGCGCATATTGACGAAGGGTCAAACAAAAAAGTAGGAAATTGACAGAAAATCGGATTTGTCCAAGTCAGAGGCATTCAGCATACATAGAATGTCTTGAAACGGGTGAAACACGTGGTTCACTCTTGATAATGCTGAAAGCTTTATAGGAAAATCCAGCGGAATGAAATTCTGCAGCATTTGGAGTGATTTCACGAGGAAGAGTTCATCTCAAGAATGGAAGAAATCGCCGAGGAAACTGCACTCGAATTCTTCACAAGGTCGTAATAACTGCTGCGTCTCCGTTTCTCCTGCGACGACTCCTTCAGAAGACTGAATGCCGAGACCCCGAATGCTGCGAACACAAATTTTTGAATGATTTTTTTTTTCTCCAGCCGCAGCAGAAATCGGCATCGGAAAAATTTGAGACTCAAACCCGAAGATGTCGTTGAGGAACGAATATCCCTGGACAGCGTGTTGAGTTTCGCATGCAAATCGCTTCCAGCAAGTTTGTGTTGCAGCCAGGACTGTTTCATGGATAGAATTCAACTGTTCTTCTGGTTCATCTGGAAAAAAATAGCATGACAAAATTGAATCATACCGAACTTCAATTTCTCTCACAGATGTTCAACTGGAAAAATAAGTGGGCAGACTTGAATAATTTTCTATCGAGGGTTGTCCCAGTTGGACGCGACATCTGATATTTTTAAAATAGGTGTGGTTGTAAAAAAAAATTATGGCATAGGCCACAACGTTTCAAGGTTCTGGGACTTTTGAAAAATTAAAAATAAGTTTTTCAATTTCCTGTAGGATGATGTGTGAAAACTTTCCAGTTAAAGTCAGTTTCCTCCACCCTTGTCACAAGGTATTGATAAGAATTTTTCAGGCCAGCTGAAAATCATAATTTTCATTCTGTTTCAATTACAGTATAATCCTTTCTTAATTTAGACAGTGTTCAAAGCAAAAAAACATTAAATTCTTCATCACCTGGACCAAAATATGAACAAAAAAGTCATTATACAGAGAACATTTTTGTAGAAATAATCCACTACCTGTAAAAACGTGGTATATTTGGAGTTGAACCCTCTATAAGCCAGAATAAGGACTGATGAAAATTGAATCATGGAGTTTCCAATAAGATAGGGAAAGCAGGATTTGAAGAATTACAAGATTGCAGGTAAAATATATATATTTTTGGGCCTTGAATTTCCAGGGACATTAATTGAGTGGATGTTAAACTTGATAGCAAACAGTGCATTTCCCAAAGGATTTCACACTTCCTTTTGTAAAGCATCAATAAGTTGCATTTTCATTTCTTTATTCTCTTTGTGGGTCCCAGAATATTCTGAGACTTAATAAACCTGAAATCCATGTGACTTTCAACATTTGCAACAATGTTCTTAAATCCTATTCAGTACCAATGAATACAGGTGGTGTCTCACTCTGCAACAGAATGTATTAAGGGAAAAAAAAATTATTGTAGAAAGAATTTAGTTGTATGGAACCCCTATATCCTATAACATGGGGAGAAAGCCCTTTGGGACCAAACATGAATTCATTATGCAGAGAATATTGTAGACAAGATGGTTCTGGAGCAAGTCCACCTGTATCAGAGTGCAGTGTAACCAATAAAGGATAGGCAAAAAATTTTTTTAAACAACTTTTGAATGACAAATTTCTCAGTAGAAAATGTCACTTTTCACACCCTCCTCCTGAATTTTGGGAATGTGTGCACCCTTGTCTTGAAGGCAGCATGAATCAGTTTGCTGGTTAAATTACCCTACTCATTCTGAACTACAATTATACCCATGAACAGCTAGGAGTTGCTTGACAACTTTTTTTTGTAAGTTTTCATCCAAATGGTTTTTTTATCATGCCGTGGCACTTGGGACCTTGAAACCACATGCCATTTCAAATAAAACTGAAAGAGCTTTCATTTGTTGTTTTTTTGTTGCTGTAGCTTCATGTGCTACTGAGCTATTCTCCACACTTGAAAAATCGGGTTTTCTTTGGCCCACCCTGTATATTAAACATATGAAATATATAGGGCGCTATCACTTTTCAGAAAATTGCATCCATGACGTGGCATTTGTCCCTGCGATTAGTCAGTGGTTAAGTAATTCGGTTTTAGTCCTGTACAATTGAAGGATTATATACAGTATATACAAGAGGTGTCCCACTTTGAGTTGACCTTGGGTATTTCTAGAGTAGGCACATACTGTATCTGTAAATCCAAATTTTTTATTTAGCCCCATGATGTTCCAAGGTTTTTGGATTTTTCAGATTAAAAAAAAAATTAAATTTTTTTCTTGAGGCATATAAGCACATAACCAAGGCTTGAATAATGTTTTTGATTAAAAAAATAAAATGAACCCACACTTTTGAAAAGACAGCAAAATGTTCATTTTTAAATTTGTTGTGAACAAAATAATTGTTGTAAACATTTGAAAATTTTAGAAGGTGTAGAAAAGATGATGGCTTGAACCAGCAGTGTTCCCCAACCTGTGATCTGCAGACCAGCCCCAGTCTATACAGAAGATTGTTGCTGGTTTGTGGGAAATTTTCTGCAGCATTGCATGGATTTATCAAAAGTAGCAATGAAGTCTGTTATCTTTATCCAAAATTTTGTGAAGACAACTGCAGTGCTGAAATTATCTGATGAAAAATAA